ATTAATACCAAAAAAAAAAAAAAAAACTAAGTTTTTAGTTGGAATTTTTTGTGGAATTATTATGCTATCAAAATGAAGCATAAATATAGAAGTAAAGACATTTTACTATGGTTAAAAGAACATACATCATCCCAAATATCAGCAAGTTCCTCAGAGGATTTGCTCTTAGCCCTGCTGATATCTATAATCGACTCCAAGGACTTGGGCTGCAAAGGTGTGAACCCGGATGCAAAACTCGATGTTCTGCAATATCCTGGTGGCCCCCACCTCAACAGATTTCCAGAAAATGCAGCCTTTCGAGTATTATCAACCTGTCTTTGCAAAGCCGAGATGGCACTAAAATAATGTTTTTTTGCGACCATTGATGAACATGAAGTTTTTGAACATAGGGATCCGGCTAACGAAAATGCCCTCCGTGTGACCTTGGATACCACATGATGCATCATGCAATTTCTTCTGCAACATACATATTAATATTAACATGGAAAAAAGGAAAAGAAAGCGAAAAAGACGATCACTAATAAAATTTAGAAAAGTGAAACAACTGAAAGCTGAAACCCATCCCATGTTCGGCGCAAACAACCCATTTTGGAAACTACGAGCTAACTATAGTTCACTGAAGACATTTATCAAACAGTTCATGAACGTAATACCTAAAAGCTAGCATCTTTCCTGAGAATTGAAATATACAAAATTCAAGATAGTCTATTAAACTGAAGCATTTTTCCATACACTATAAACACGGACGCATATACGCATATACGTATACTTATTCATCTGCAAAAATATGCAAAAGCCATGATTGAGGCAAATCGTGTATAACCGAGTGTTGAGTGTCCTACCCCAGTGCTCGACGAATTGCAGCCTAAGGTTTATTCCATGAACTTTCGCACAAAATTTAGCCAGTCCAAAAGAAATGCTAAAATCAGCTCACCTGAATTCCGATAGTGAATAAAGAAATGAAAATTTGTCGGTCAGGTTCGTGGATTTGATTGCAGGTACATGAAGAGTTACCAAGATTCAGTCGCGATAATAAAAACGTTTTGGAAAATCCAGGTGAGTGTTGACAGCATAAGTCGCATCTACATCAACAACGATTTTGTTTGAACAATGTTTGAGCCCGAGGTTTAATTTCGATTGGGCTACACTAATATATCCCCTCTATATACCAAAGCCCATTTAGAAACTAGGCCCGAGTTTTAATTTCAATTGGGCTACACCAATATATCCCCTCTATATACCAAAGCCCATTTAGAAACTAGGCCCAAACCGTTACAAGATAGATATCAAGTAATACGGCCCACGCCGTGAAATGTCACTGGTTGCACTTGGTAGTTGGTATAACATAATAGCGCTACATTAAACGAAACGACAGTAAAAGCATAACGCCTTCAAACCGTTTTGTTTATTAACTCTGAAAAGAATAAGTAAAGAAAAAAAGGGTTTTTCCTAAAGTAAGCA